TTTTACTCTGAATGTTACTGTAAGGAATGAAATGTTAGGAACATTTAATAACTAGAGTTCTAATAAATTGAGCATTTGTTGTTAACATATCTAAAAGCAATAATATAGTCTATGTTTTAATTTTCAGCTGAAGTTGTGAAAACAAAATGGCAAAACTTGAGGGACACCTTTTGTAAAAAGCAGTTCAAAATCTCAAAAACGACAACAGGTAGTGCAGCTTTATGTGATACCCACATGTCTTCATGGACGATTTTCTCCTAACTAATAACAATACACCTGTTACAATTCAGTGCTCTTAGTGATCTGATTTAAATTCGCGGCAAGAAGAAAATATGATGGCAAATAAGATCACTGTCGATACTGATTTTGATTACAGCCCCTTTAGTGGGGAAGCACAGGATGCTGAAATGTTTAGAGACCCTGTTCAGGAAAAAGACCATCTTCCTAGTACGAATCCTATAACATTCAAAAACCCAAATATCCAAATGAAAAGAAAAAATGCTCTTGGTAGGTCTGATGCCACCAGATTCTTTCTATGAAGAAGATTGATTATATGAAAAAAAAAATTAACAGCAGAAGAGATAGAGATGAAGGGGGAAAAAATGCTGACTATCTTTTCCTGTTGAGTTTCCTACCAAATTTTCATGAAATTCCAAAGAGGTTGAAGCTTGAAACCAAAATTGAAGTTCAAAATGTTTGCTAAATGTGGTTAGTTAGAGCTCAAGAAGTGGCAAGCTACTATTCATTTGGTTAATCATTGGAATGTATTTCTTACTCTTTAACTTCATCACCTAAAATGACCCAATGTCTATTATCCTAGACGTTCAGGACATTTCATCAAAACGAATGAATTTAAATTTTGTTTGCTAAATAAATTATATTAAACCTTTCTAATAAAAATAATAGTTGTGCTTGTTTATAATAAATTAATACAGAACTTTTCTTGATGATTATAATACTAATCTTTGCCATGCAACAAAGGGTATAAAACCTGGTTCATAGTAAAGACTTACTTAATAAACATAATTTCCCTATGTGGTTCAGGCATATGATACACCCCAGATATTATTTCATTCTTACATTTAATGACATTCAATTGTAAAGTAAAATGTTCATAATATATTTAATATGTTTTATGGGGATTATTACAAATATCAAAAAAGTAATTGCTCTTGTTGTTTGTGTATTGATATAATTACATTGCTTTTATTTCATTAAAAGCATTGTCTCCATTCAAATTTGTGAGTGAGAAATGTCTCAGGTGGTCCCATGTCATTTGCACTTGGGGAAATAATCTTTATCGAAAAAAATTTTAAAAAGTTTTCTTCTTCATACATCTACAGATTCTTGAAACAACTCTATTCTATACATCTATAAGGAGAGTTTTTTTTTCAGTACATATGTTTACAATATCTCGAAATGGGGCAATACGTAGCAAATTTAAAAAAAAAGGAAATGTTAAATCTAATGCTTGAACAAAAAATTTTAAAATATTAAGTGACACATTATAATTTTAAATTGTTTGCATTTGAAAGTCTACACTCACAATCATATTAAGTAATACACAGTTTAATTAAGTGAAAAATTATGTCAGTTGAATTCTTTAATTGCAAATCAATGTTTATTTATTATTTAAATAAGACAAAGTAAATAAAACCAAATAATTTTTAACAATCATGGTCATTTAATAGCGAAAGATAATTAGAATTAGAAATTGCAATAAAGAAATGATAATTAGATATAACATTAAAAAAATATGCATTTATTATTAAGTTTGCATATTTTGTAACTATCAGACTGCAAAAAAAAAACAAAATTTAAATAATAATTTCAAAGGGCAATGAAATGTTAATCACTTGAATTTATGAAAGTATGTACATTTTTTTACACAATAAAGAATCAAATATAATTTTTAACATAATTATTACTTTTATTATGCATTTAATTTTGAAAAGATTGCACGTCTCCAATGACTGAAAATTTACAACATTCAAATAATTAAATGAAAATAGCAATATTTAAAATTTTTAACCATTATTGTGTCATGTAGAAAAAAATTATGTTCATACTTATAATTAACTGAAGTTCAAAACAGCCATAAAATACATTTATGCATACATATATTAAGTGCAGTTCCATGTAGTGTTTGTATGCTTTTACCAAATTTCTAAATTACTTTTTCGCACGTTTTCAATGTAAACTAAATTAAAGTTCTATGAACAAATTAAGTTAGCATTACTGCTATTGATCATGCAGGTCATGATAATGCTATTGCTAGATTATTATAGAAAAAAAACCAACGTCTTCAAAATGATTTAAATTAGTGCAGCTGTAGAGCCTTAGAAGTTGAAGCAAACTATGGGGAAGCTATACAAAAGCTACAGGGATCAATTCATAATACATGTATATTTAAAAGAAATGTTATGCTATAAACAGGAACAAATGACCAGCTCGTCAACATTTTTAGGATCAACTTGAAGTGCTGTTTTCATTAATCACCAGTTTGCAACAAGTTAGCCAAATGCACATTCCACTGTTCTTCAGGCCCTACTATGTCTGTACTGTAATCGTAAACTTCTATTGCTCGTGATACAGGAACGCCACTGGTGGTGTATGGTCGCATCAGAAAATTATTCAGATGATAACATTGGTTAACAAGAAAACCATATGGAAGAGGTGTATTTGATCCCAGTTATCTGGCTTGTTTGAGGAAAGGAGAAAGACCCCGTTTCTATGTGGTTGTATATATATTTATACAACAATACCACTGTCACTCTGCTTGCCGTATGCCCCACAGTCAACACTTAAAGTACTTTGGATCAACAACGCAGACCAAATAGTAGTTTTTATAATAAAAATGTTTAGTACCTGATAAAAAAAATTAGCGTTTAAAGCGGACATGCTTGCCGGCAATGCCAACAACACAATTTGGAAAGTTCCATATACTTTCATAGTCCTTAGCAGTCTTTTCCATTAAATCTATTGTGGGAAAAGGCATCTGCTCCTCATCAAAGCATTCCCAAATAGCATCACGGGTCTCATTAATAATAATGGATATTGTGCAGGGGTCTGTCCGGTACGAAAATGATAGAAATGTGAATGGTAACCCCGTAGTATGTAGTCAAAAGGTCGATGGTTCATTCTGAAAGAATCAAAAAAACTTTTCTGGATGCTCCAGCAGCCTTGGAAACAACGTATGGAATTCTCAACACCCGTCCAGCGGCGTAGCGAGGGTGTTTGGCGCCCGTGACAAGATTCGCGCCAGGGAACAAGATCCATTTTAAAGCGCCCCTTTTTTCTTTTTTTGAACATTCAAACCCATTATTTTCTTCAATAAAATAATATCAAAGCACATTTTGGCGCCCCTAACTAGCTGGCGCCCGGGGACATCTGTCCCCCCTGCACCCCCCTCGCTACGCCTCTGCACCCGTCTCTCTCTGCAAAAATTGGGTTTACCAACTCACTTCTCTGACAATAATAATTTTAAAAATGGATTCTCCATCGAAGAAGACATGTTCAACCATTTCAGTTATATTTTATTTTTAAATGTAAAATACATTATGCTCATTAAAAATCTATGTTTATTTTAATATTCATTAGCGCTATCGGAAAAAACAGCTAAATGAAAGCCTTAGTTATGATAAACAATAAAGATTCGGATGCGATCGGTTGCAATGTGTTCTCAATTTCGATAATGTCCGATGTACAGTTCTACCGAACGACTGATCTTGTCGGCAGTCATGAAATTCTGTGCTCTCCGGATCTAGTGTGTGCTAACCCTTAGTCAATTTCGGCCGAAACCGAAAAATAAACGAAAGGCAATTTTTCTCTTTCGGCCGAAACCGAAATTAAGCCGAAAGTTAACTTTTTTAGTTTCGGCCGAAACCGAAACTTGGCGAAAGTGATAAATGGCAACTTTCGGTGCCGAAACCGAAGACGAAGCCAAAATTGGGTCGGTCTCTATCTCAGATACATAGGCATATGCAGAAGAGACATGAAGGCAGCCAACATTGACATCTCAAACTGGGAGGACTTGGCAGAGGATCGATCCACATGGCGGGACATCGTGAAGAAAGGATCACTTCATGCCAAGGAGCAAAACAGGGCAGGAACAGCTGCAGGCTAGGTCGTCTTGGGATAGATTTAGGGTTTCTTTTTAGGTTTGGGAAAAAAATTATGGTTCAGGTTAGTTTTAGTGATAGATTTAGGGTTCATGTTAGGTTTAGTGATAGATTTAGGGTTCATGTTAGGTTTAGTGATAGATTTAGGGTTCATGTTAGGTTTAGTGATAGATTTAGAGTTCATGTTAGGTTTAGTGATAGATTTAGAGTTCATGTTAGGTTTAGTGATAGATTTAGAGTTCATGTTAGGTTTAGTGATAGATTTAGAGTTCATGTTAGGTTTAAGGATATATTTGTGTTTCAGGTTAGGTTTAGGGATGCATTTTGGACCATTTTTTTCATTATTTTTTAACGTTTTATTCCTAATTTTAGCAAACGTTAGTTGTCTTATTTTTACACGGTCGCCATCTTTGTAGCCGCGACCCGTTAAGGCCGTCAAAGTTCACGTCCTGTGGCAACCAAGATGGTGGCCGTGTGATACTTCACGGTGCCATCTCTTCGCTTTTAAGATTTTTTTTTTTTTACTTCGGGATGTTATCTGATAAGACTTAATGAACGGTATTTCATGTAGTTCCAAATTTGTTTTAATCGAATTTGCAGAATGTCCCTTCCCTTTCAACATTCAAAAAAGTATTTTAACATTTACGAACACTTTAAAAATTATCATTGTAATTTCATTTTAAGTGATTTGGGAGGGGAAAATGACCCCCATTCTCACCCTATGACAATTCCTTTTTTTTTAATATAAAAAAAAATCTTTTAATTTTCCAAAACTGTGTTTATGTGCAGTCAAATACATCTACGGAAAAAGGGGG